CTAAAGGCCTAAACCCCAAACCCCAACACCCTAAAACCCTAAACCCCTAACCCCCTAACCCCCTAAACCCTAAAACCCTAAACCCTCAGAGGAAAAAAAATACATGGGTGGTTGTCAAAATTAGGGTCCCTTTTTGGGTACCTATTATTTAGGGTACCCCAAAAGGGACCCTAATTTTGACAACCACCCACATGAACTTCCGGACTGCCTTCCGAAGGTGCGCAAGCAAAGCTCGCGGAGGCGCAATCCAACGCGGCCAAAGCGAGGACGCTGCAAAGCTTCGGGTGTAGGGTTTAGGCTTTAGGGGTTAAGGTTTAGGAATTTAGGGTTTAGGGTTTAAGGTTAAGGTTTAGGGTTTAGTGTTTAGCTAGGGTTAAGGTTTATGGTATAGGGTTTAGGGTTTCGGGTTAAGGTTTAGGGTTTAGGGTTTAGCGTTTCCGCTGAGAAAGCCTCGGTATGTTGGGTTTTTCCCTGAATTTCCGAAGGTACGGGCATGAGGGGCATTGGCGCGGGGCCTGGTCTGCCTCGGGGCCTTAATGCTTGGAGTAGGGTTCGGGAGACAACATGGCAAAATTCTATTGGAGCACAGGGGGTTCCAGTAGCAATGAATCCGACCATTACATTAGAGACGTCATAGTTCACCCGATTATCCACCTTCCGCAACGCGCCTGGTTCCCCGAGACCCCCATACCCCCTACCGTTCCCTTACAACCCTTATTCAGGCAGGACGTGGAGGCAGTGCAGCGCGACGGCGCATCGCTGGGCAGCGCTGCTCGTGCACCTTGGCCAAAACCATTTTTCGCACGCTTGCCACACAGGGTAGTTAATATATGTGAATAAAAACTACTTTCCACTCATGTCAGCATCAAAAGTGTCATGCACAGCATTTCGCAATTCCTTTGTGGCTTCTTCTCTTGATTGCCTTCATCTCGTATTTCTGGACCCTTACCGGGGGAGGGTTATCCATGAAGAATGCACTACGATGTAGGGTCTTTGCAGGCGGATACAGCCCAAGACGAGGAAGTAAGAGCGGCATGATGTACTATAGGGGCCTCGCTAGTTAGAATAGGGTTTCGAGGGCTCCTTATTATGAACGTAGTATACTAGACCCCTAAACCCTATTCTAATTATTAAGGCTCGTATATATTGTAGTTTTGTCCCAAACCCTAGACACTCAAGTTCTAAACCTACATAGAGCACTCCGACAGCGTTTTGCTGCACTCAGACAGCCCTCTATTCAGGACCAAGGGCCACATAATATTACAGGATACTCGGGGGGGTCCTGGTAAAGACAGCTAAACCCTGAACCCAAACACCTCACCGTAGAAGCCCTCAACCCTAAACCCTAAACCCGAAAGCCTAAACCGGATAACCCTGTTTTGCAAGGCTGGTCTTCACTTCGTCGGGCGGTGGTTTGGAGGAAGCTCCGTGCGAGCCATCGCGCCCTAGCGGCAGGAAAGCGGCCTAGGCCTAACCCTCCAGGTACCTACTATAGAGGGTACTAGAGCCCCTAGGGCGCCTATATAGTGGGTCCCTGGAGGGTTAGGGTAGGATTCGGAGGACGGGGATTAGTCTAGTATAGGAATCTTAATAATTTCCTGAATTCTTCTGGGTGTTCCTGATGATAACTATAGTATAATATGCCCCGGAACCCCATTCTAATTACAAAAAGGGCCCTTTTATTAGGGTGGGGAAAAAGGTGTAGGTCGAAGCAAAGGGCACTGTGGGGTTTGAGGACACTGTTTTCAAAAGGATTTAACATCTTCGGGGCAGGGGTTGAGGGATTTACCTTCAAATGCGGCCACTGGAGATTTACTATTCGAGGCGCCAGCAGTGAAACACTTTAGGCTGTGTAGATACAGGCCATCAGGACACACTACCCCCCCCGCCCCGTCCAAAAAAAAAAAACAAAAAAAACAGAATAACCTCAAACCCTAAACTTTAAACTGTAAACC